GAGGCTGCCGGACACTGGCGCCACTGGGCCCTCTGACCACCACCAGTAGGCAACAGGTGAAGTGTCTTGCCCAAGGACACAACGACAGAGACTGTCCAAGCTGGGGCTCGAACCGTCAAAGTTGCATTTGTTTTTAGAGGCACAGGAAGAATTGAAGGTCCCAAAGTAATTAGCAACATGAATGAATTTCTTCAGCCTGATATTTGGTTTTCATTTACATAAACACATTTCCACCATTAACTCATGCAAAAAGGTGAAAATTTATGCATGTGTGTTTAGAAGGTTTCAGGAAATCTGAGCTGGCAGCAATCACTTCAGAGTGTCGGGTCAGAACACTTGCAAATGTTTGGATATGAGAGGAACAAACAGGCAGAATCCAGGAATAAAGTTGTCATTCTTTACATTTCAAGTTGAGAATGTGGCCACAGCAGGGCAAGAGTGTGTGCGTGTGTGGTTTCTGTCGACAAAGCATAATGATACAAACCAATTAGAACTCAAATTACATACAATACATTATATAACTAAATAAACATATTACTTCAGCCAGGACAATGTGAAACATGAGTTTTCACCCACTGCTCAGACAAAATCTACACAGAAAAACAAAGACAACAACACAAGTTTCATTTTGTTTTGTTATCAGTTTAAGTTAAAGAATAACATGTTTCCTCTGCAGCATGGAAATCTTTAGATGTGTACAGTTTACAGGTCTGGGTAAGTATGAATAAATATTCCTATTCTGTTTTGGAAAATATGGAATTCAGAGTTTCTAAACTGAAATTTATCAGACAAGAAGAGATTTCTCATGGTATTTCAAGCACAGCCAAAACCTTTACGTATAAGAGAGCTCTGCCCCAGCATGCCTTCTTATAATTGTAGCCAATCCAGACATCCACATTCATTTAACAAAAAACAACAACGTCTAGGTATTTCATCACAGATATTCACATATGAAGCTGAAATTTGAAATTTTCTTATGAAAGTGTCAGAACTTATGTTCTTAGGCCTGTGGCCCAGTGTTTTGATTTTGCATTATTGTTTATTAGTCTGTTTTCTTCTTGGTTCTTGTTTACTAGTGTTTTGGTTTTTGTTCAGTATTTCTTAGCTTGTGGATTCCTTTGCCCCTCATGTCACTCTGGTCGCTGTACTGTGTACTGTGTTAGTATTGTGTCTCTGAGTTCAGTCTGTGGATTTCCTGCTTTACTTGTCTCATGTTAATGTAATCTGCTTTACAGTGGCTT